GGGGGGTGGGGGTGTTCATGTCCGCAAGGAGTGGCACTGTTTTAAAAGGGGGGGGGGGGTGGGGGTGTTCATGTCCTCAAGGAGTGGCACTTTTTTCCTTTATATTGAGAAGCGGCATTTATGGGCAAAGGCAGATTTTTTCCCCTGGAAGTGGGGCGGCAAAATCCTTGTCCCGGGCGGCACTTACCCTAACTACGCCACTTCTTGTGTCTAGAATCTCCAAGCTTACTCTCCTTTGATAACGGGATGATCGCTAAAGCAGAAGCTACTAGGGCAGGATGAAACTAGTCGGTCTGACAGAAAGTAGCCCATCGCGTGTCTACAGGGCGTGCGGGGTCAGTACACTCAGCTACAGTGGGTCGCAGCCACGGTGGGGTCGCAGCCACGGTGGGGTCGCAGCCACGGTGGTGTCGCGTTGAAACCACACAAATATTTCAATTTATTGATCATTTTTGGCTCCTATGCATGTAGATGGGATTAGCAATGTTTCTGTTGATGAGGAAATTCTACTTGGGGGAGACATTAATATGTATAGATCCACACCCCTAAGATGCATTCTGTGCATTCGACGACAGAAACAAAGCGAGGTGCACTAAGGTTTTGAACATTCCCATTCTGTGCAAAGTGTTCTCATTGGGCGGCACCTCCCCGCGTAGGGCGTGTCAGGGTGAAAAGGTGATATTTACACCCGAGGACAGCTGTTTAATTCAGTAAACTCGAAGCTGTGGGTTGAGATCCATTCTATAACCCTGGTGTACGGTGTACACCGCCTCTGTGGTTGTGTGAGACCAGAAGCATATACTTCCATATTTGTACACTCAAGAAGTCAACCCACACAAATTCATAATCTGTCAACTGGTTTTAATTTGTTTTTTCTCTCAATCAACTCGGTCCTCATTAACATATTTGTAGACCCACTTGGTTGTATGGTTATAGCGTTGTAAAGAAACAGTCTCCTTTGTCAGACACATTGCTAGCATTGTACAACTGTACGCAGAATGTCAACGATCCAAAGGACCTCTTGTCGTGCACCATACACATTTAATTGAACCCACAGGGGGGGGGGGGGGGGGTTCATTGTTTGGCTGGCCACATGAAGCGGCAACTTGGCAACAATCATCCATGACATTATTTGCATCGAAGATTTTTATTTTTGGAATACCGGTACAGCGTTGGTGGCTGGGGTGCAATGAAGCGTAGCACAACGTTCGATGAATGTCTTGTCGTGTAACAGAATAGCATTGTGTTTATTTCGGCATGCAATCTGATCCCGGGGCCCCGCGGGGTATAATGAGACAAGACACTCGGTGATAATGATTCACTAATTAAAGATACCCCCCCCCCCAAAATAGCTTCATAAACCTTAATGTAGACAGAATTGTTTTAAAAATATAACGTTTTAATAGCCGACGGTAATGTCTGTTATTGCAAAATCCATTGTAATACATAGTTTTTTGTTCTTTTTTTTTTTTTTTTTTTTTATATAACGTTTTAATAGCCGACGGTAATGTCTGTTATTGCAAAATCCATTGTAATACATAGTTTTTTGTTCTTTTTTTTTTTTTTTTTTGTCTGTCTGCCTTTGCCTGGGATTTTATTTGGGATCACTTAATTACTTTATATTTTAAAATCCCGAAATAGTTCATGCCTTAAATAACGGCAATGGCACTGAGTTTGGGCCAAGTCCCATTTGCACTATAAAATAATCGTTTGGTATTATTTTATAGTGTATGTCTTGTGTTTATTAGTTGGTGGGCAGGATAACTAGTTTTAAAGACACCTAAAGGCCCCAAAGAAAGCGTTCGATATAAACGCGGGAAGATAGCCTTTGGGCTCGAGCAACTTGTCATTCCTCTTTACACAAAGGCTCCACCCAGCATGAAGCTGACTTGTAGAGTGAGCAGCTGCAGAGCACACACACACACACACACACAAGATAACTCAGAAAAGCCCCGGGTTAACTCTGCACCTGTTGATGTCCCTTCTATCCCTAATTCCCTTGCATCTACCGCACAAGAACATTGTGAATTGGTCTCATCAGCCATCCTTGCGTGCACCCACAGACAGAATCAGAACCAGCAGGATTCAGATGAATGAAATGGTTTTGTTCGATTTCGACGGACGAAATAACATGAATGGGGGCTATCCATAAATGAAGCCACGTTCTCTTGGTCGATATTTGACCCATCTTTTCCCCATTGTTATACATGTGTCAACAAAAATTAGACACCACTGTCACATATCGAGTCATATATTCGCGCCCCTTCCCCCGATAGGTTTGAGACGCCATTTAAGGATTGCCCCGACTCCTTTTTGCACCCCTGCTCTTTTCTCATTCACTCTTCACCTTCTCTCTCCTCTCTCCCACCCTATTTAAGGGTTTCTGTTGGTAAAAGGGCGGAAGTTAGAGGTGGGTATTTTCTTCCTCACTTTACACTTTGTCATCAGGTCGGAGTTGAAAAGGTTCTAGTTCCAACTGACGTCACGACAAACCAGTGTGTTATCCATATACATTGAACAGTCTTGATAAAAGATCAAATTGATTATAAATAACTTATATCCGTTTTTGTTTAAAATATACTACCAGCTAATGATGATTTATTAGTCCTTGACCCCGACTGGTTCCATTGGTTACCGGAAATTTGTTTGAAAGAAATTTCGTCGACGGAAATTTGATCTAACGAAAATTCACACGTTACATTTTCGTCCAATTTCTTTTTGAACGCACTATAACATATAGAGTAAAACACAATTATAACATATAGAGTAAAACATAATTATAACATATATAGTAAAACATAATTATAACATATAGAGTAAAACATAATTATAACATATATAGTAAAACATAATTATACCATATAGAGTAAAACATAATTATAACATATATAGTAAAACATAATTATAACATATAGAGTAAAACATAATTATAACATGTATAGTAAAACGTAATTATAACATATATAGTAAAACATAATTATAACATATATAGTAAAACATAATTATACCATATAGAGTAAAACATAATTATAACATATATAGTAAAACATAATTATAACATATTTAGTAAAACATAATTATAACATATATAGTAAAACAAAGTAATGCTTTCAAAAATAAATTTGACTCAAAATTTTAACGTGTGAACTGAAAAAAAAAGATTCGACCGAATTTCCGTTAGACCAAATTTCCGTCGATCAATTTTCCGTCGACGAAATTTCTTTCAAACAAATTTCCGGATACTGGTTCCATTAATAGAGCCATCCCCAATGAACGTATACACAGCTCTTGTTTTGTGTTAAGTTAACTGTGTCGTATGCTTGGGTTTGTATTTTTTTAGTTGTAGTGTTTCGGTACCCATGGACTGAGGACCTCTGAAAATAACGCATTAAGGTATCTTGGTGTGGGCTAGAAAAACGCAAAGCCAAATCAAAAGGAGTGTCGCGAAACCAAACAAAAGATGTTTCTTCTACCAGATTACATCTTAAAAAGCAAACATGATGAAATGCCGGCGAGAATTCTGTGACTCCACTAACCAGGGAAAGTGACTGATGCTAGCCTAGTTGTTGTGTGAAAAATGGTTAACTGGTGGCAGAGACATGTCCAGCGACTACAAAGGAATGAGCTCCGTGTTGCCGCGGGGCCTGTAACAAGCTCATCGCCCCGTGTACGACAACCGGCGACCATGTCCGCACGGGGAAGCGACTCCTACTTGACAAGTTGCAGACCTCGTAGGGCCGGATGGCAGCCCAGGTCAACATGGCCAGTTCTTCGCGGTGTCCTCAGATCTAGAATCTTGTAAGCAGACTGTGAGCTGTCTTCTGCCGGCCATTTTTATATTATTTACATCAGGATATAAATGACGCGGGCAGGGGTCGTGTATTAATTTCCTCGTTAATTTTTTTTAGCCACAAACGGCTCGTTCTTTTTTTTGGTTTGTTTTGTTGTTTTGTTTTGCTTTGTTTTTTTGGTTGTTTTTTTTTGGGGGGGGTTGGTGGGGGTGGGGGGGCGCTCGATTAAAAATAAGTCGATTAATAATATAATTGAAATTAAAATTTGTCCCATTAAAATCAGTTCTAAATTGCCTCTATCCATCAATTCACATAAAACCTATAGTGTTGTCTAAGCATGTTGATATATTATATAGATTATATTAAGAAAAATGAAATGGGGGCCCCCGGCCCAAGAGCATAGGATATTATTAGTTCAGTGCCCTTCAATATTTGA